AATTTAAAATTTCCACATAATATGTATGTTTAATAATTATATATATTATATATATTAAATAGACGGTGTGTACGAATGTCGTTTGTTCATCCGTTTATAAAAATTATGATTATTGATCTGTTTTTAATTTATAAATCTATAACTGCTTTTGGTTCAATATGTTTGAGGCTGGTTGGCGTTGAATATAGTTTAATCTTCGTGTCGCGATGACAACGCGACAATAATTTTACGACGACGTAATGTCGGCGGTTTGAAACCTCTAAATTGGACGTGCGCAGGGTAAAGTAACGACTAATGATAATAATCGTTGATTCTAATCCGCCGCCGGTGTACACGGAAAAAAATAACTGACAAATTTGATACTTTCTCATCACTGCTACCTACATTTTAACATTATGGTTATGATGATAATAATAGTAATATCAATTACTGTACAATATTTCCCAGCCGTCGTCGAAATGTAATAATATAAAAAATGCACAAACGTCTAACCCGCCAAGCCGGCCACCAAAACGCAACAGCAGTGTATTTTATAACTTACATTTTGCAATCTAAGTGTCGATAAATATTATAATAATATTATATTATGTCTCCGTCAAAAACGCGTTGGTTCCATTGCTTATTCGTGCGATCACGTGTTGCGCTCTCGAGATCCGCTCGTAAGTCGTAACCGTCACACACACACCCATACACACATAATATAATACAGGACGAAACGTTTTATCCGGACTATGGTTACGTATAGGGATATAACTTTAATTTTACTCGTGTAGCCGAATGTACGAATTGCGTATAAAATGTGTAAACGAGTATAATATTGTGAGCAGCGGTCCTCGAAAGTTAAAAATGTAAAACAATCATCGCCGGCCGCGCCTGTTTGACAATGAAAAAATAATAACAATCACCCTGTATAATATTACTGTGGTTATATATAAGCGTGGAGCTGCTATTAACACACGGCGCGGCGGCATTATTTTATGTGTCCCTACAAATATAATAATATACGCTGCGGCTGTGTGGCCAACGGCGCGCACACACTGCACGCACACGTCTACAAGTCGGCGCTCGCTTGGTGAATCGAGCGGGTCGGTGGCGTAGGTGGTAGCGGTAGCGTGTAGTGCAGAGAGCTTTTGCGGTGCGGTATAATACGGCGGCGACACGCGAAGAGGAGAACGGCGGCGGCGGCGGCGTCGTCGTCGTCGTCGTCGTCGTCGTCGTTGGTGGTGGCCAGCGAAGGGGTCATGCGAAAGCCGGCCGGCAGTCTCGCTCCCCCGGCCACACCACTCTACTCCCCCGCATCTTCTCTCGTATGCGGTGGCGGCGAACGACCTCTTCTCCGTCGCCCGCTGGCCGCCACCGCCGTTGCGACTATCTCGCGCGCGCGCCCGTTTGCCCGTCGATCAATATGGCGTGTAGCCGCCGTCTCGCGCGGGTGCGCCGCCGTCGTTGTTGTTTGACTATAACTGCACGACGAGGGATCGTTCACACTGGCCAATTTACCCAGTCTGAAAAATAATAATAAAAACCGTATTCTATATTTTGTAAACAGGAGGGTGTTTCACCCCGTTCATCGAAAGAAATCACCTATAGGTTTTTTATTCTTCGAATTTTCGGTCCTTGTGGAGTCAAATTTTTATGGAAAAATCCGATTGCCATATAGAATCATCCATCGCCTCAGTGGTGGTCAAATATAGAGGGGTGGGGGTTGATAGATCTTCCCGTGACCTTTTTTCAATGTTTAAGATCTGATTATCATAAATTATATTTTTAATAATTAAATAGTGCACGTTAAAAAATCATCCATGTCTCCCCCCTCCATGACAAAATCATTTGACCGCCACTGCATTGCCTACGTTCTCTTGCTCGCCCTGTGTAATAATCGATACATACGGGTGTACACTAAACTTCGTTTATATAGGTACTATATAATATATTAGTATACACGGACAGCGTATTCTCTACCCAAATCTCAATAATTATCCAAAAAAATTGATCGTGTCTGTTGACATTTGGGTGTGTTTTTTTATTTATTCGTATGGAAACTTGAGGATTATTTATGTTTATTTCAAATTTGATATCGATTGATACAAGTTTAACATTTAAATCATACGTAGTTTTATTATTTTTTATATACATAGGTATACCAATTATATGAGTATATCTGTTATTCAATTATAATATTAACATTATCTTTTCACCTCCAATCTTATTTTTTTTAAAATTATTTTGTAATTTTATATTATTAGTCATTACTTACAATTTTAATATTCATAAGTACCTATATTATTATAATTATAAAAATATTTAACATTACGAATACGAAAACGCCCTTTTAATTGTTTTTAGTGATTATGTTATTATAGTCTACTTTAGTACAATTAATTCAAGATGTAGTATAATACCATATACATTTTACTGTAAAATAAGACAATTTTTTATTTTTATATTACAATAAAATATAGAAAAAATGAACATATTGTACAGTCTTATATAAAATATTGATTGTTTAAGATTTTATATTTTGAAATTGTTGTTATTTATTATATATGTATAATATCTCCAAAGTTTATAATTTTCCTTTCAAATAAATAAATAAAAAAATGTTTATTCTATTTTCAATATTCTATAATAAAACTTAATTGAAACCATTATCTGTTATTCAAATGCGTTGTAGATACTTGCTTAATATATTTTGGTGCATGTACGCAATGCAGAATGGAGATAATTATATTCTTATATGTATTCACTGGTCTCTAAATGGACACTTATTAGGATGTACCTATATTGAATATATTAATAATGATGAATAAAAAATCATTTTCTGTTATAATTTTACTAGGATAATATGTATATTGAATATGAAGTATTTTATAAATATACTTAGTACATTGTATACGTCATATAATACTTACTACTTTTCAACAATTTGTTTGACAAGTACATTAGTCATTATACATTTAAATTTTAAACTAAGAATCAAATGTTTATAATAAACATTCAAACTTCATATCATAAAATCGTACAGTCATACTTTTCTGACATGATTTATTATATTATGTAGCTATACTTATAATGTTGTACATGCAATAGCATTGATATTCAAACTAGGTTGATTCAACATTTTTATTGTATTATAGGATGCAAGAAAAGCAGCATGCGACACAAGTCTGTCGCAAGCGACCACCAGCATGGAACCGGTCGGCCGGATACAAATGCGAACGAGGCGTACCCTCCGTGGACATCTCGCCAAAATATATGCCATGCATTGGGGCTCTGACTCCAGGTAAATAAAGTATTTTGAGAGAATAGAACCATGTACAAATGTGGATAAAGGTATAGGTATAGCAGAATTGACTAATTTATGGATCTAATAATGTGTGGCTGCAGTTAGTATCATATTCATAAATAAATTAAAAATTATGATTTTCAAAAAAAAAAAAAGAGTCATATTTTAATAACAATTGTGTTATCAGTATTAATATTTATAGTTTTCTTTAAAAAAACTTCATAGTTTGATATGATTTAAAAAATGCTATAAATACTATTGTACAATTGCTATTAAAATATTAAATTGTTTATTTTTATTGTTTCTTGTATTACATTTATTCGCAATCCCAGAGTTTATAATATAAATAATTATATACTTTTAAAACTCATTGTTTATTAAATAATATTATTTCAGAAACCTAGTATCAGCCTCACAAGATGGAAAGCTTATCGTATGGGACAGCTATACGACAAACAAGGTACACGCCATACCACTTAGGTCTAGCTGGGTGATGACGTGTGCATATGCCCCATCAGGCAGTTTCGTTGCTTGTGGTGGTTTAGACAACATATGTTCAATTTATAGGTATAGTATATAATTTCTTAAAAATTTAAACCAAGTTAGATTTTATATTTGCTGATTTTGATATTTTTAGTTTAAAAACAAGAGAAGGTAATGTAAGAGTTAGCCGAGAACTGCCAGGGCACACAGGTTACTTATCATGTTGTAGATTCCTTGATGATAACCAAATTGTCACCAGCTCTGGGGATATGTCATGGTAAATATTTAAATTTTCAGTATAATTATATCTGATTCTCACTAAAAACTATTGTCCTATAGTGCATTATGGGATATTGAAACTGGCCAACAGTGTTCATCGTTCATTGGACATACTGGCGATGTTATGTCTCTGTCAATGTCACCTGATATGCGGACATTTGTATCAGGAGCTTGCGACGCTTCAGCAAAAGTATATATAATTTTTTTGTTTTCAAATGAAATATCACTTAATTATTATTATTTAAATTTCAGTTATGGGATGTTCGAGATGGAACATGCAAACAAACGTTCCCAGGACATGAATCTGATATCAACGCTGTCACGGTAATTAATTATTTATATCACAATTTTGAACTTATTATTTTTAAGTAAATATATACTAGTTTTACTAGTTATGTATATAATACTATACTTATATGCATTCTTGATTTCATAATTTTAAAAGTTTCTTTTGTCTTATTGTTTAGTTTTTCCCGAATGGCTATGCCTTTGCTACTGGCTCAGATGATGCTACCTGCCGTTTATTTGATATTCGGTCTGACCAAGAATTAGCCATGTACTCACACGACAATATAATATGTGGCATAACATCTGTATCATTTTCAAAATCGGGACGTCTGCTATTGGCGGGTTATGATGATTTCAACTGCAACGTCTGGGACTCAATGAAAGCTGAACGTGCCGGTTAGTTTTAAATTATTTTAAGTTACTAATTATAAAAAAAATCTTTTTAAACAATAGACATTTATAAAGGATCAAAATTAAAAAAACTAATCATATATTAAAAGTTTTATATAAAAGATAATAAGTAGGTTTTTATATTCTCAACATTTTATCTAGTTTAAAATAATTTCTGGTGAAAATTTATTAAAACAGTAAATAGGGGAAGCCCTAAAAATATTTGAAAACATACATTTTAAGTTTAAATTGATTCTTGATAATATATCTTAAATATAATTTTGGATTGTAAGTAGCTCCAGAAATAATAAATGTTAAGGATTTTTTACTAAATATTTCCTCATTAACTATCTGCTTTTATGTGATTTATCAATATTTTTATTATTCTTTTTTTTATTCTTAATGATTTCTAAAAAAAATAAGGTATTGCAAGTTTATTATAATAATTACAATATTATTTAGTTTAGAAACATGGAAGTTGAAATTATTGTCTAAAACCTTTTGAATTTATAAATAGTTAGAAAAATATTTATTTTTCAACTTTCAGTATACTGAATAGTAGTTAGTAGTTCATTTTCCCTGGCGTCCTCCCTCATTTTCTGGCACACATAATTAAACATAGACTGTATACATACATTATAGTATAACCTATACTGTATTCCTTAATATATTTACCTATAAATCATTCTTGTAATTTGGTTTTATTTCAATTGGTAAATGTGTAATGTATGGTCCAAATATTTCTAATTGAAATTCTTGTTTACTTGATAACCAACCAATCTAAACAAAAAATAAATAACTCAACATATATTAGGTCACAATATTTTTAATTGTATACTTCTCTTGATGTTGTGTTAGGAAAAGGTAGCACACTTCTAAGATCCATGTTTAAATTGCCCTTTCTCATCATTGCATTTTTCTTTACTGCATTTAATTTTTCATTTCTTTCTCTATCGTGTTAAATCATTTATTAATAAATTAATTAATTACAATTTCTTACAGTATTACTTATATTCATCTAATATCCACTCCCACTTATTAGGCCAATCATCAAAAGCTTTTTGTTCTTGCTCACAGCGACTTCTGAAATTCTGATCATCACGTACAGATACATTTGCTCTAGCCATGTTATAATAAAATAATATGATTAACGTTTTTGATTTTGGATATTTAATGTACAATAATATTAGTAACTAAGCAATATAATATCGAATGATTAAAACTAGAAAATTCTAGTAGTTGGAGTTTTTTTGTACGTTTGTCCAAATATATAAGTGATATACAAATGTTGAAATATGATTCACAATATCAAGATTTTAATTTTAGTTTATAAATTTGTAACAAATCTATAATAATTTATTTTTATAAAATTGTATGAAAATTAGTTTCAAATAAAAATGCTGATAATATTGTCTAGAAAGAGAAATAATCTATAAAAATTATGTTAGCAATAAAATGGAATCCTAAATTAGTAATTTGAAATAAAACTTTATTTTGAAATGTCGACCAAAAAGTAGAAGATGAAATTGAAAGAATTTTCAATAATAACACTATGATAATTTGTCAGAAGTTCTGTTAAAATAAATTAAATAATCCTTTTTATGTGTTTTTAGATTCTTTTGAAGTGACATAAAGTCATCTCTTTCCCTAGTAATAATGTATTTTAAACATACCTTGTTCATAAACTATTTTAATTGTGTTACTTGAAATATTTTATATTTTTAAGTGCCATTTAATTAATGTTATTTTATTTTAGGTATATTGGCTGGTCATGACAATCGAGTCAGTTGCCTGGGAGTAACTGAAGATGGCATGGCTGTTGCTACCGGTTCTTGGGATAGCTTTTTACGTATTTGGAACTGAGTTGGCCCGCTGATGAGACCTATGAAGTCAACGCCAAACGGTCCCTGAATTACAAAAAAAAAAACCAAAAACAGCTAAATAAATAAATAAATAAAAATACAACAAAAAAACCAAATAAAGTAAAAAACAGTTCAAACATTTTTTTCTTAACGGGGGACCACTCACGCGAAATGAAATGTTTTGTTTTTATCACTATAAGTAATCTCTAAGTTGCATTATTCAAAATCCAATACCACCCGACTTGAAGGTCTTCCGTTTCGCGCATTTTTGGGACAAGTGTCCGCGGCTGTTTAGGTGCTCAAAAAAACAAAACCGTGGCAACACAAACTATCTATGGAAACGTAGTGTTAACAATTATATTTTACAACATATAATATACAGATGTGTATATATTTACATATATATACATACATACAAACTAAAATAATTATGAATATTTATAACTAAGTCATATAACTAGAATAGATCAGTATTTAAAGTTATAAAACGCTAAAAAAAAAAATTATATTCCTAAAAAGTTTTTTTAACGAGTGTTCATATTAAAAATAATTTTTAAAACAACAAAAACAACTTTATATACTTTTCTGTGTAAATACTAGTAAATTAAATCTTGTGTATAATATTAAAATTTAGTTCTTAGAGTTAAAATATATAATCAGAACTGTGTGCATTTTTCAAATAAATCTGAACTATATATTATTTTCACCGAGAAGTTTTAGATTTTACACCGATGTTGGTTTTTAAAATATACAGGCGTTATTTTACAATAAGGAGTTGATCTATTACAGTTTGTTCTCAATGCAATGGTCAGTTCTTTCTCTTTGCTGATACCCAATTATATTTAATTATTACACTTAATGTGTTTTCATTTATAAGTGAAATATTTTGGGTTGAACTTTGAGGTCGACTTCTTAAAATATTTAGAATCGTCTTAACATTTTGTAACACCACGGACGGCCTTCATGAGGGTTGTGCTCTGATCATACACATCTTTGGTTTTTATTATAAACAATATTCTTTAAATATATATTTTACTTTAAAATTTTTTTTTTACATTCTAACGCACACATACACATTTTTATATTACATAACCAGTTTTTTAAAAAGCATTTATACCTATTAAAATATACGTGTGAGTTATTTGTGTTGTTTTAAACTGTCAAGCATTCATTGAATAGTTAATTTTAATTAATATTAATTTTATTGTTACTTTGTAAACAAAACCATTACGTTAGCCTTATGAATCTGATAAAACCATAAGTTTTGCCACTATATTATATCTAATGGTGGCCATTATTTTGTATTATTATTATTATTATTATTATTATTATTATTATTATTTAATTACTTAATTCTTTAAATGTCCACGAATTACTAAAATAAATTTTTGATTCCCTAAATGGATTTACCTACACCATTGAATATCCTGCAACTCTTACTGATAATAATGGTGGTGGTAATATTTTCAGTTTCTTTATAATTTTATACTGTATAGCTAACACTCAGTATGCATATTTATGGCGAATTACACATAACATTTAATGTTTTCATTTTCCTATAAATCTGATAATTTAACTGTTAATGTGTCAATACAAGGCAGAATGTTTATTAAGTCATACCTAGATCTTTCATGGATGCGTTGTAATTTATGTTTATGAAAATGTCTTATTTCAATTTATCTAATCTTCATATACATGTGTTTTTGGGTTAATTAAACATGGAGTAAGACTTTTTTATATGCATTAGCTGTATACTATACCATGTGTTGTGTTCTAATATGTTAGCTATCTGATACAGACATTTTATCTTAATACCTAAAGAACTATTGACATAGAAACCTTTCTTAGTTTTATGATTTAATATTTTTATAAATATATATTTTTTCCTAAAAGACTAATTATTTCTATTAAAAATAAAAATCATTGAATATAATATTTAAAATCAATGAACATTGTCAACAACCACATGGTTAAATGTTAGAAAATACATTTTTTTTTCAACTTGAACGATCAGCTGTATAATAATTTATGAACATACAAAATATAAAATAAATTAAAAGTATTAATTTTACTTTTAGTTACATAAGAATAAACAAAAAAAATGTATATTTATATGCATGTATGTAACATATTTATACATACATATATATATATAGATTTATTAATAATAATACTAATAGTATGTACAAAATATCAAATTTATAATTACATTTTTTTGCTTAACCAAACATCTTTGTAAACATTTTAATACATTCAGTACTTAGAGAATCTTATCGATTATTGTAATGATTTTGTGTTCTATTTTCATTTTGTTTTTGTTTTTGAGTGTGTGTTGCAGTCATTTTTTGAATTTTTTCTATAGTACGTATATTTTATAATTAAAAAAAATTATCAATAGGATTACATCTTACCATCTAATATTATTATGTAAATATAAAATAGAAATTACATAATTTACAATTATAATTATAATTTTTTTTTTCGGCAACAGTTTGATGTCACACACTGTATCATATAGGTACTTTTACTATGGTTATAAATTATAATTATAAAATATTACAACTTTAGGTCTTACGTAAAGATAAGGTCTTAAAATTATCGTTGTTCGATAACTATTAAGGAAATAAGGAAAAATATTAAAAAAATATTGCAGTCAAAAGAATATCGCTGTTTTTGTCGAATTTCTAATCATATTAATTAATTATAAGTTAAGTTATCATTATTAATTTTTAATTTATTGCCAAAAGGAAAAAACACTAAAAACCAAGTAGTTTATAGTGTCTTGTATTTTTTTTATTTCCTTTTTTTTTTATCGCTATTGCGTTTATTTATTTATTTTTTAAAATGTAAGTGTAATAAGTTTGTCATGGTAAAAATAAAATAAATATTTAACATATTCAAATATGTTAAGTGTTATTTAATATGCTTTTTGCACATTGCCAATGATTAAATAATTAAAAAAATGTTTAGAGCACTCTTTAAATTTTAATTTTTTCAAGCAGAAATTAACCTTATTTGTACAATACATAGATTTTATTAAAAATCTAAAGTCAATAAGGTTAATACATCAGGTGGCCCATTAAACGTACTACACTAATTTTTTACTTAAAATTTTGTGTTTTTTTTTTTTTATTATTTTAACTTTTAAATACATTTTTACAACTAAAAATGAAAATTGTTTTCTGTTTTATTACAATGACCTTAAAGATAAAAATAAATCATAATTTTTATAAAACAGCTATCTTTATTTTTAGTTTAATAGTCCTAAGCCAAACATTCTCATAATGATGTTAATATATAAATATTGAACCCATATTATTTTTTTAAATTGAATTGATGATTCAATATTGAAGGCTATATTTATAGTAAACTATAGTTTTCTATATTTATAGTAAACTATAGTTTTCTATTCATATTTATTTTAAATTGATTTTAAAAGAATTTTAAATAAGAAAATAGGTACCCTTACCACCCTCAAAGTCAGATTGCACTATTTCTGACCCTCAAAACTGTAAATGGTTATAATTTTTAAATTTTTAACTAATCGTTCAACATTAATATCAAATTATAGAAATTATAGTGCAACTAAATTTAGAATTGAAGTAAAATTTGCAGTTCTTAAAAAAACCCAAGTTAAATAATTACTATTTTTGATAGTTTGAAAATCTAAATCCTCGTCCAAACACAAATCCCAATTTTAATAAGCTTTAAATGTATTAATATCATATTTTTCACTTTTTCAGACCCTTTGTGATTTGAATATTGTCATTTCGAAAGTCAACCAACTACTAACTCAAATATTTTATAACTATTTTCAATTTCTAATATATACAATAATTAATACAAAATGTATTATATTTACCTATAGCTTTATCTTCTTTTTATTTGCTCATCAATTCTTCTGGCTACTGACATATTATAAAGATACCTCATTAAATACCTGTAAAATAATAATATAAATATAGCAAACCAACATAATTTTCATACCTACCTTTATTACAAGTTACAACATGGTAATAAATTAGTGCTCAAATTGGGTGAGTGCACGTAAGGACAAAGCTCCTTTACTATTTTTTATTCTGCTTATGCTTTAAAATGTATTGCAAACTTTCTAATGAGAAGTTCCTACTAAAACCCATAAATCTAAAAAATATAATATCATTGCAATTTTGAAGTAGGTACCTACAACCTACGCATATTATATACCTACTATAAGCAAAATACTTGGATTCATTTTTAGTTATTGTCTAATGCCTATATTTATACCATATATTTTCATTTGCCTATTTGATAAAAAGTACTTAGTACTTACTAATAGTAAAAAATAGCATAAAAATATATCATAAAATATACATGGTAATATAGGTTGACACCTTCTCAGAATCAAAATATGTTAATCGATGAGGTCATATGAGGAAGAAAATATGTAATTAATTTTATTGTAGATAAGTTTTTATTGGTGTAATTTTAAACACAAGTTGAACATAAATTCACAATAATGTTTTATAAGCGTCTGAATTTAAAATTCGTCGACCACTGAAATTGTGCAAATTATTTTGAGTTAGAAATGTATGAAAATGTTACTTAAACTAAAATTTGAAAATTGAATACAAGATAACTCAAACCTTTTTTTTCTATCTTTATTAAAAAAAAAATATTTGCCTGAAAGTTTTTTTTTTTTTAATTTTAATAAGATATATACAATCTGTACCCATTAGGCACAATAAGAATATGTGATATAATATTTGACTGAAATTAATAATTTTTTATGGGTATAAACTTCAAATTTTTGCGGCATAGGATATTCATAAGTAAATTAACGATTTTTCAAGATTTCTTTTGTTATTTACAAACGAACAAT